CTGCCCTCCAAGCTCTCCTGCCAATCTGCAATCAAGCACTCTGCATTTGACCAGCCCATGGAAGACACCAAGTCTCTTATCAAGTGCAACAAAATTCCACCTCCTGATCCAAAGGAAAATCAGCAAACTGAATTCCAGGACTTGCCATACTCTCTGGAGGGAGTTTATTCATTTGCCCAAGAGCTCACCACTACTAATTTAAAATCCCCCCCTCCTCAGTGATGTCCAGCATAACAAACCACAGGTAGCTCTTCCCTCTCACTGCCTGGAGGGCTGAGGCTAATCTGAAATTAACTTTTTGCTTTAATTTCCATGGCAGCCACAGCCCTTTCTCACAAGGGAAAGGCTGCAAATGCCAAGGCTGACTGGAAACCATCTTGATTTTGTGTCAGTGTAAGTTTTGTCTCTGCAGGGGACTTGCCCAAAATTTAAACCAATAAATGCCATCTGAGAGCCTGGCTTCAAAATGACAGCAGCCAGCTAAACTCTGTCAGGAGCAAACAGACAGAAGAGCTGCTGCTTAATGAGAAGCTGTTAGCAGCTGGACAGCAGAGAAGTTTTAGATTTTCTGAATGGATGATTATTTGAGCTGCAATTCCTCTCCTGTAGGCAGCCAGACTCCTTCCCCTTGCCCTGCTCTTCTGTAGTGATGTCCCACAAGCTGTTCTGTTGAGGAACACCACAGACACTACCTGTGGGTATTGAGCACTTCATTTAAGTTTATTAGGAACAAAGTGGTTGAAGCATTTGATTGAAAACAGATTGAAGCCCATGGCAATCAAGCACCTCCATTTCCTGATCTTCTCAATCATCCCCAAGCAGCTCAGAGTCCAGCTGGGCAGTGCCCCCAGGCCCAACAACTGAATTATCCACAATTTGTCCTGGAAGGCTCCAAATAGAACCCTTCTCATCAATACCCTAAAGATGACAGGGGGTATTTATATTTATTCTTGTGTGCTGCAAAAGTTATCAGCGCCCAGCAGAGGCATTGACAGGAATCCAAGGGAATACCCTGCAAGACCCCACGGTTTCATGCACCCACTGTCTTCTATTTGTCCTTTAATGAAAAATTGTCCATCTATGATGTTCCAGGAGTGTCCCTCAGGGCACTTTTATCACAGATACAGAAGATAATCAAAATAACCTGCAATTTCATAGCTACACAGCTGTAAAAATCTGAAGAAAAATAAAATAATTGTGAGGATATCAAGAACAATATTGTACTTGTTGAAGAGACAAGCAGATAGATCTTTAAAAGCAAATTATTTGCTAGTCTACTCCTGCAGTCTGCTATGTATAAACTACTGCCTGTCTTGGGATCCAAGCAGAACAAACATTGCCCACTCAAGCCAAAGAGCAAAAAACCAGGGGGAAGGAGCTGACAGAGCCAAGGGCTGTGTCCCCAGCTGGAGACTTGCTGCTCTCACCTTTGTGAGACATTGTCCTGTCACCTGGTGACAGGCAACCTGCTTTTATGCACAGCAAGAGAAAGGAGGGGGGAAAAATAAATCATCTGGCCACTGGCCCACAAATATGGGGCATAATGGATCTTCAATTCAACAAGGAAAACACCACATTAAAAACAGGCAAAAAACTTTCTATTGAGCAGTGTTTATTTATTTTTAATTCTGAAATAATTTAGGACTTTCATTCCTATCTCCTAGCAAATCATCACATCTTTAGATATCAACTAAAGGACAGATAAAACACCCATATTTACCCACATTTATGCATCAAATGCAGCCATTGTAGCTCCTTTTTAATCTATGAAAGGGTTCAGGCTTGCAAGAGGAAGAAAATTGACAAATACAACATTGGAAAATATACAGTCTCAAAACTAAAGAGGTCAGAGAAGCAACCTGCTACAATTCACAACAGCTTTCACCATTCCCTGCTCCCAGGGGTTTTGCAGAAAAGAAAAAGAAGTTGGCAGAAATAACAAGCAGAAGCCATTCCTGAGTATTGGTGTAATACAGGGGAACACACAGTGCCAAGTCACATATTTAGCTGTGTTATCCTAAGGAACTGACAATAAAATGCAGTGAAATGTAGTGCTAGGATTGAATCCCATCTGCAAATGTAACTGCATTTTAGACACATCAGCTGCTCAGCGTTCATATCACCACTCTGGCTCCCTCCAAAACAGCAGTGGGAAGCCCTGCATGGAAGAAAAGGCCATCAAGGGCTATTAAATGCAAAGATAGAATAGAACCTCTGGCTCTGGAAGTCCCTAAACTGCAGATTGCCAGACGCTGGAGCAGCACAGTCAGAGCTGCAGGTTTGATTTATCCCCACAATTTCCCCTAAAGCATCTGCAGCTCCAGCTGCTGAGGGAGACCGGGGGACAAGGCAGGGCTCCCCTCTGTCCCACTGGGACTGGTGTCACTGCCCAGACTGGGTGAAGGTTCAGGATCTCAGTGGTACCCCCTGGAACATCCACAGGGTGAGGAAAAGGATGATTTTACAAATGAAGCAAAGGGGAAGAACTCTTGTGACCTTAAAGAATGGCATAGACAAAAAATGTTAGGCAGGAAAATGAGAGAGGATTTTTAGTAAATCCATGGGAGGAGATCCCAGCAAACTGTAATCCCTTTAAAGTCATGGATACTGACATGAAAATTCCTGCTGGGAGATACCAGACACATACCTGATACAGTTAATAGCCACATTAATATCATGTTTGGTTCCTCACGAGGCCAACAAAAACAAACCTTTTTGATGGGATCATTAGAGTAGAAAAAAATTCTTATGAAGCTCATATTGAGAATCCAAATGGGAACAGATTTATAGGATCTTGGACAGTTGCTGTGGTCTTGCAGGAGCACACACTGTTTTCAGAAGGATTTATGACATTTCAGCACATCTTTCCTAGCATAAAGAGTAATTTAGCCTCTACAGAGCAAATAGATGGGAGAAACAACCTGAACATAAAGTTTATCATAGCAAGGGTGATAGTACAGAAGTACTCAACTCTCAGCTCCTACACTTCCATCAAGTGCTCTCAGCAGAGCTCAAGGAAAATCCTTCGGTCTCTCACCAGTCATTGAATAAAGTCTTAAGAAGGACAAAGAAAAAGAAAACTCTTCAATTCCCATCCCCAAGCATCTCTTCACAAATGTGAAGATCACAGTGCTTCAGTGCTATCAGTGAGCAAGAGCTTCTCCAAACCTGCCATGGCCATGAGGAAGAGAAATCTAAAGACTCCCATTGAATTGTCTCTTAATCCCCACTCAAATGCACATTTTCTACTTTAGGCTGCAGCTGCTGCTGGAGACACACCTGCACCAGGGATGAAACATGTTTTTCCCCTTCCAAATGATGTACAAATCTGGATTTAATTATAATGACATCTCCCATGGGTATCAGGAAAAAAAAATATCCCTGAACAAGGTATGCTGCTTAGTAATACCCCATAAAACTGCATATATAAGACCCCTGAATTATTAGGATTTCCATTACTCAGGCCAGTAACATCCATAATTAACTGCTGCCTTGAGAAATTGCTCACAGGAATCTCTGCTGCTGTGAGGAAAGTAGAATCCACACTAAACAAGTAATACCACTGTTAACTTTAAGGTAAATAAAATTAAAAATGTTAAAAAAATTTAAAACAAGCAACAGAACAGGACCAGATAATTAACAGCAGTTCTCCTTTTTTTCCCCTCACAATAAAAAAAAAAATACTATTACATCCCATGTGAAAGCACAGTCTTTCCTGTGGATGATTTATTTTCACTGCATTTTCTGAAAGAAATAAAGTTCCACCGGCCAAATCCCTTGGTATGTCTAGGACAGACCCAGTGTTAATAGACTTGCTCCCTCACAAAATAACTGGTACTGGAGATTGGGTTTTCTGAAATCACAGGCTGCTAGTTCAGATCAAACCTGCTGCTTGCAAGGTGTAGGAAACATTTTGTGTTTGAAAAAGTCCTTTCTGACTGCGGAATACCAAAGCAGCTCAGTTTGGCTCTGCACTCCTCCAGACTCAGCATGGTTTGGGTTATTGCCATAGACAACTATTCTAACTCAAGGACTCTTAATTACTGCTCACATTTCATGACTTCATAAATTCCCTGGAGAGGGCAGGAGCAGCAGAAAAAAAACAAAAAAAAACACTTGAGCTATCCAGCACTGTGAAGGGCTAACAGCCACACAAATATGGAATTAAAAAAAATAAATAAAAGGAAAATCCTGCCCAATATAACTACAGTACTATGAATCATAACTACTGAATGGGAGAGGAGGGAGAAACTAGAGTGTCAGAAAGAAAGGAGGTGATAATGGTGCCTTTGCCCAGCCCATCCTCAAAGCCAGCAGCAGAAGGCCAACACTGTTTCAGAAGCCAGATAAAAGAACATCATCTCTCTAAGTGCTCTGAGAAGTAAAATCTCTCCAAATCCAGTCAATTGATGCTGAACTCATTGATCGGAGCAGCTGTGAAACGATTCAAGTGCAGGCGTAGCACTGAGACATCCTGGGGACTCTCACTGTCAAAGAAATCCCCACAAAACCCTGTCAAACCCCAACCCCATCCCCATCCTGCAGAGGGGCTGCAGCAGGTCCTGGAGAAGCAGGGACACAGAGCAGTGACAGCCCAGGGGAGCAGAGCAGATCCTTTGGGTCCCTGGATCAGAACCAGGCTGGCAAATCTGCACCAAAGCTCACAGAAACCCACCCAGCTACAGAAAAGGGGCTTCTCTTTGTCACAGCTTTTCTGTGCAGGAATAAAAGCATTTCCAGGAGCCTCTTGGCACAGCTCTGCTCTCCCAGTGAGGCACAGCACAGTTATTTCAGGCTGCCCAGGCCACACCTGCTTTCCCTCTTATCCATCTGCTTGTATTTTCTCCACAGGAAAGCAGCAGAACAATCCATACACCAGCTCTTAACCTAAAGCTGGGACATTTCCAAGGCACAGAGTAGGGAACAGGAATTGAGAAGCACTTCTGGGTCACACACACTTCAGCTTATATTTGTAACTGGTAACCTATTTATGCATATACCTGCAAAATTCCAACCCAACACCATCCAAACTCAAGCCCAGCTTCGTGAGCAAGCACAGCTGATACCAGGAAATTGAGACTCAAAACTTGCAGGTTTCCATCCCAGGAGAGACTCAAGGCTTGTGGAAACACTAGAGCAAAGCAGGCAATGTGACTGAATTGACCAAAGAAAACCCCCTGAATATAAACAGGCAGAGTTCTATAGCCAAGTGAAAAATTCATGCCAGAAACTGACTTGACAAGAGCAACTTTTCAATATATCTTTCCAATATTCAGTCAAATTTCTAAATGATGAATGCTTTCTGAACAAGTCTAAGCACTCCTGAGACAAAATAAGCCAAGAGAATAATTGTATGGGTCACTGTCCATGACAAATCTCCATTTCACACATTCTATGTAAATGTTGTTGTTTACAGCTTGGAGAATTTCATGCATCTTGAAAGCTCAAAAAGGTTTTTACTGAATAATTATCTCAAAAATCACAGCTTGATCACTATAATCAAAACCTTTAAAACTCAATTATTGCTTAGTAAAGGCAATTGGCTCAATAAAACAGGATGAAGTTTGTACCTTTGTTGGGTTTTCTTTAAAATCAAAACTTCCTTTGACTTAAATAGAAAAGCTGGAAAAGAGAAAATTCATGAACTGATTCAGATTCCAGTAGTTCCTCATCTCCAGATGGCTGAATGATCTTCTCTGGAGTCACAGACTGAGACACCTAACTGATTTCCCCCATTTTCCAGTATTTCAAAGGTAACAACAAAAATTCCTCAAACAGAGCCAGCAGCTAAAGAGAGCTACTGTACCACAGGTAATGGGCCCCTGGGGATTCAAACAGGCAGCTGGGGAAAAGAAAAGGTGAAAAAGAAATGTTTGGGGTTTTTTGAACTGTAAATTCAAGAGAAATGCAAATAAATAGGTGGAGAGGGTACAAGGAGTGCTATGGAGATTCTTCATAAGAGCGCTTTGAGCCAAAAGGAAAGTATTAGGTATTAATCAAATTTTAGTTTTTCCCTTATGTGGGTCCATCTCCTGAAAGTTGCTACATTTTTTGTACTTTTGTGCAAAATGATACTAAATCTTCTTTTATCTACAGTGAACTTTGGGATTTAGCAGCAAGGCTCCACTGACATTTGAATCTTATTGTCCCTTCATGAGAACAACAAATAATGACCCAAGCCCAGTTTCTAATTTCAAAAAACTCACCATATTTTTTTTGTTATGAAAATACTTTGGCCATTTGTGTTTAAAATTAAAGAGTACATGTCATACTCTAATCAGATTTACATTTCTACAGCTACTTCACAGCAATTTTGATTTATAGCTGAGGAGTTTAACAGACACAGGGGCACAAATGGGTTTAAGGGCAGCCCCATGATTTGTGGGGCAACAAAAGAGGACAAACACTGGTGGCACAATGAAGTACAGTGATGGTGCAAGAATCAGGTTGAAATAGATATGGAAAAGGTCTCATGCCATGAAACATAAATGTCTTCAGAGAATAAGAAATTACAGACAGAAATAACATGAAAAACATTTATGAAGAACATTTGTCTGCATTCACCACAGAACAAGGACAGGCAACACACCACCAAAGGAAGCACAAGAATTAAATTGGAGATAGCTGTAGATTTGCTGTTGCACTATCTAAAGATATGAAACCCATACATTATCCCTCTGCTGCATTTACCTTACAATTTGAATGAGAAAGTTGAGCCTCTTGGTTTTCAGCTGTTAGTCTTATATGTAATTTTTATTTTCCATTGATTTCCTGTTGTAACCACATTTTGTGTGAAATAGCCTACAATGCAAAATAATATCTATGCCCATTTTACTCTCCCAAATTGGATTTCTGTGCCATTTCTTCTGATAGACCAGTTTTATTTCATCCTATCATTATTTTGCCTGATGTGCTCTCAGTCTTCATTTCATTTTAAGGAGAAATTCATCCTTATGCAGGAAAGTCAGCATATGAAATACCCAACATTACAAACTTGCTGAAGCTTTCTTTGGAGCACATAGCTCACAGCACACAGATGAATTTCACCCTCAATAAACACTGAGGATTTCGGGCCAAATGAGGGAGAATACAGAATGCCAGCATTCAACATATTTTCCTCAAAACAGAGTCAGTGCTTCATTTGTGAAGTGATTTGTGGCCAAATTCCATTCATGGCTTTCAATATCCCCTCTGCATTTTCTCAAATGACAAAATAGCTGAGGTTATGATATTGTGTGTCAGCCAGCTCCTGCCTGAGTCAAAGGTATGGCCATGTAAATGTGACTCTTGATGACTATTGGACCCTTTTTTCAGGAAAAATAGATAACTCTATATCTCTAAACTTTCATGTCATGTAAATCAGGATTGAATCTCACACCCAATTGTTTATTGTCACAAAAAAAATTGCTTACCTTTCACCCTGTGCCACACTTAACCCAGCCCAACAAAACAACTCCAAGTTTAAGTTCTTTAGAGGGATCCAAGTTTTTCTTCCTTGTAATTTTCAGTAAGACTTCTGTGTCTAGGGGAATATCTAAAATATCTACCTCCCTAAAAAATAATGCAAACAGGAGAGGAATGTGAAGAGTATGTGTGCTCCTTGAGCCTAAAACAATTGGAGCAGAGCAGTAAACAAAGACATCCCAGAACATCATCTATGGGGTCACAAGTGAAAGGAAAGGACTTCTAACAGAAATTCTATTTTCAAATTATTTGTTCGTCCACAGCTCTGCAACTATTTTTTTCTTTTTGTCTTGAAAAAGCAGAAATAGTCATCAAAAGCAGCACCAAGTAGTCAAAAAGAATAATAAAGAACTATGCATTTATATGAACAAACCTATTGCAAACATCACAAACAGCATTTTCACGAAATGAAATTAATAACTCAACTAGAAATTAGAAAAGAAGGGGTTATTTAGTATTAACAAATTAATTACATTTATTACATTATTAATTAAATTAAATTATTTAAATTTAATTTAATATATATATATTATATTTTTTAATTTAATATATATATTTTTATATTTAATATATAAATTATTTAAATTTAATTTAATAATTTAAATTATTTAAATTAATTAAATAATTAAATTATTAACAAATTTATTACATTTATTACATAGCTTAGATTGAAAAGTGTGTAAATGTATCCAGGCAAAACTTATGAGCCATATTCAAGCACTAATTTTAGTGGCAGGAAAGACACTGAGATTTAATCTCAGACATTTGAATCTAGTTTAGTAGTAAGTAGGAGATTAGGCACAGTCATAGGAGTTAATTTTTTAACAATGGCCCATTTTCTTATCTCTCATCTGTCTGGTTTGGAAATAATACAATTTTCCATGAGTAAGTGCATTAGTTCCTCCTGAGATCCTCCCTGTTTCACATTCCACACACACAGGCAGAACCGTCTAATGTGCAGTGACAGCTGCCAAACTGCTCTTTCCTCCCCAAAAGATGGGCCCTGTCTTCTATTTCAATCTGGTAACCTCACAGCACTCCTAATTATCCTCACAGCACTCCTAATTATCCCCAAGTTCTGGGTTGTCTCTTACATCCCCCAGACAGAGCAGTTCCTTGGAACCTCAGCTCTCCCTGGTGCCTCTCATCCATTGCTCCCATGGATGGGCCAGGTCTGTCCCTTGGCTTCTGCTGGGGACAGTGAGTACTTGCAAGATGAGTGCTCCAAACTTGCTAACTACGGTCCAGTCAACGTTAAAAATACTATTTTCTGGTGGGTTTTGGGCAGTGCCTGGGATGGGATGTACCAAAAAAAAAAAAAAAGGGTTTCTTAGTGGTGTCCTTTAGCCATTCCCTCAAATAAAGCCAACAAAGAACCCAGCAACAAAAAATACCAAAACTCTTTCCTCACAGCAACAAAAATACTAACGTGCCAATTTCCTTCAGAGTTCAGGACATTCACAGCATCTCAAATTTCAAGGCAATTTAAACTCAGAAGGGTTCTATTGATATACTCCATAGATTAGAAGCCATAGTGAATACAAGTACATCATGCTATAATGAAAGGTTTTACTTTAAGCCAAGTAAACTGATAATTTGCCAGCTCTCTATTCTTGTCCTTAAATTACACATAGTGACTGGTGTCTCTGAGTCCCTTCCTTTTCAAAAACACTTCAGATTATTAGAAGTGCTTGTTGTTACAAGAATCTATTATAATCACAAACAACTCAAAATTACCAAAATACTAAAGCCACATGCCAATTAATTTCACTTTTTTTTTCCCTTGGTTTCCTGTTTGTTATCAATGCAAAAGATTTGCAATTATTTTATTTCACATCAGCACAATAAGTCCAGGAAAGCTGATAAAGTACCAAAATGCAAGTTGGATAAAAATTTTCATAGAAGAATGTAGGAAATGCACAATACTACTTCCTTTACCATCCAAAGAAACAATGTGTTGTATAGAGGAAGGACACCTTGTGCACAAAAGTGCACAGAATATCCGCTCAACAAGGTGAACCCAGCAAGGCTTGGGTTTTACAGAGCCCAGACCAATGTAACCATCATTGGGCTTCCAGAAGGACCTTGGCTTTCACGGCTAACACCTTCCCAAAAGGTCTGGAGAATATTTCCCCAACCTGCAGCTGTGCTGTCCTGGGTTTGTTCTTACTCAAACATATATCTCAGCAGACCCAAAACCTTCTGACCCTGTTTTTCTCTTAAAATGGTTCTCCAAATCACACCACCAAGGCTGTAATTGATAAGGGTAAACCAGGAACTTTCTCACACATCAAATAAGATGCATGAGAAATATGGTGGCATCTTCATGGAGTGTGCTTGGTCATAGAGAGGGACAACACAGTGTTAAATCACCTCACAACAAATCATGGCCTTTCAGGGTGACATTTAAAATGAGGAGCATTTGCTGTTAAGACAGCAAAAGCAATGACTGTAACCACACATTGCACTGGGACTGTGTCATTGACTGTCAAGGGTAGAAAACAGAGAAAAAAATGTACATGCAAGAACTGTATATAATATTTAGAAGGCCAGGTATCTTTAATCCAAAGCAACAAGTAGATTGTGAATCACTGGAGAAACTGCAGTATGAAATCTCCTTCAGGGAATGAAAGTGGAGCACGAGAACCATGCTGATTATTCTTATCT